TCCCTGGTCCTGGACCATCACCTTCCTGCCACCCCTGGAACGGGGGCAGGAACCAGTCTGCCACTGCCCCTGCCCTGCCCTTGACTGGGCTGACGCCTCCTGGAAGGACTCAGAGGAAGGTCAACTCTCCCCAGCCTCTTGGAAAGTCAGCAGGACCCCGGAGCCCACAGCAGGGGCCTGCAACACATCTCAGAGGCCGGGAGGCTGCTCCTAATGCCCCGCTGGTGCCAAGCAATCATGCGGATCCTGGAGGGGACTCAAAGTGAGGTCCTCCTGTTGGGCATCACATCCCCCAGTGCAGAAATGCACCTGCCTCAAGTCACTGCTAGGGCAGATGTTCTCAGAAGATCTGCATCAGGGAGCAGGGACGGGCTTTGGGGCTGGACGAGTCAGAGCGAGAGGCTTATTGAGCAGGTGCCTGCCCTGCTCCAAGGATGTGCCAGCCGTTGAGTCCCCCTCCCTGCCCCTTTGCTTCCTACACAGTCTGGTTCACACGGGGAGGCAGTGGGCAGCTTCCTTGCTCCGTGCCGCCCTGCCTGGCACAGCTGAGGCTCATGCCCCTTCCTTCGGAGCCCTGCAAGGGGCAGGTCAGACCGTCCCCAGCGACCAACACCCCCTGCTCACAGGGCTGGCACCAGGGAGGTGTGGGGCTCCTACCAGGGGGATAGCGTGCAGTGGGAAGGGGGCAGCTGATGCCAGCTCCTTTGTGGCAGTGTCCTGATGCCAAAGGGCCACAGGAGAATGAGGAAGCAGCTCCTTGGTTCCCACCGGCCGCTGGCAGCTTCCTCCTCGCAGCTCAGCTCAGAAGAGCATGGGACTCCTGCCAAAGCCTCTCCAGAGAGACATCAGTGCCAGTTATGCAGAGACGCTGGCTGCGTTATTTGTAACCTAGGGATGGAGAAGTTCCTTCTCCAACCTGCCGCTCCGCCCGGGGCTCCTCTTCCCCCTTGATCTCATCTTCCCCCTTGCTCTCCAGCGTCCCCGAGCCCCCGGCTGATGCTGCCAAGAGCGGCATATGCCTCCTGTCAGCTGGGTTGAAATTCCTCTCAATGTGCCCGTCCATGAAAAGCTCCCATTTATCACTCCAGGTCCTGCCTTGTGGAGTGGGAGGTAAAAGCAGCTGCTGGGATCACAGGACCTTGTCTGCGACACCCTGGACAGCTGATAAACAGCAGGCCTGATTCTTCTCAGACTGGGGAGGCAGGGGTGGCTCTGCTGGCGTTAGGGGGTAACGGAGACAGCAGAGCCCTGTGTGGCTTTGGCAGCAAGTCCAGGGTGCGGAGGAGGAAAGATAGTGGGACCATTTGAAAAGCCGGTGACAAACCTATCTAGCATGATCTGAAGGGGACAATGCCCTCTTGCAATACCACGCGAAACAGCACATTGATGGCTTAAAAGCTGCTGCTTCTTTCTGGGGCTGGTCCATGGAAAAAGGGAGTGCCCAGTGCATCAGGCCCCTGGTTGCAGGTAACCCCTGGGATTTCTCCAAGTGAAAGAAGGTGGAGGTGTGATGCAGTGGCTCTGATGGAGCTGGACCACCTTCTGCATGTCCCAAAACTCGGACACAGAGGGACCAGGTTTTCAAGGGGGGTCTTGTTCAAACACTGACCGTTACAAAGGGAAATCCAAAGCCTGAGAAAGCCAGAGGACTCCAAAGGGAGCAAATAGCTTGGCTCAGAGGGAGCCTAGAGCCTGAACACGTGCCGACGGAGCAGGAGGCACATCCACCTGCTGGGAAAGGGAAAACAAAAATGAAGCAGGCAGGAGGGAGGAGGACGGCCGGGCTCGGTGGTTTGGTTCCAAGAGTGAAGCCGAGCAAGCATCCCTCCAGCCCCTGCGAAGCTGAGACAAAACAGCATTCCCTAACATGGGTAAAGTGGGAGATGCAAGCCCAGGTGACAGGGCTGCGTGTAGAGCAACTGGTTTCATGCCGGGAGTGATGCCACGGGGCGAATTTACCGGTGATCTGGAAAAGGGAGATGAGTAGTTCACTGGTGACACATCCTGTGAGTCAGGACTGCGCAGGGGGAGGCGTGAAAGGGGCTGTGCCCGGTGGGTTTCTCTAGACCAGTGGTTCTCAACCCTTTTTGTACCAGGACCCGTTTGTAACCATCGCTGGCCAGTCCCGACCCAGTAAATAGTTTAAGTAGAAAACAGCCCCCTGGCCCTGCTGGCGCCCCTCACTCCCGACCCGCTGCCCGCAGGGGGTGGGGGTGGGGCATGGGGGAGGCTGGAGCTCTGCCAGCCTGCAAGAGAAAACCCACGGTTTCCCACGCTTTTCAGGAGAATTCATTTTTAAAGCTGGTTCACAACCCTTTCATACATTCTTGTGACCCACTTTTGGGTTGCAACCCATGGGTACCAGTAAAAATACGAAGGGCGGGGGCAGCAGGACTCAGAGATTGCAAGGGAGGGAAAACCACAGACCAGCTCCATTCCTGTACACAGTCAGGTTAAAAAGAGTTCAAGGTGACAGTGGGCTTAATAACCAGGGGATCAGAAGTGTGACAGGGTAGCTCCCTGGCCAGGGCAGCCACAACACCTGGCACAGTGCAAGCTGCTGCCCTGGTTGCCCACGTGCCCCCTCAGTTACACCGCTCCCAGGGACAAGCTTTATTCTGCCCCTGTTCAGACACGAGCGTAGAGCTGCTCAGGTATTGCAGTGAGCACAAGAAACTAGAAAAAGAGGAAGAACCTAGCAGCCTAAGAGATGGGATGAAGCAAGGAGCAGGGGGGGGCAAGTATAGCACTGCTGCCTCCAGGTCAGCCCTTGAGGGGTAACATGTTTGGGGCCTGCCTGAGGTAGGATGATTCAGATTAGGGGAGCTTTTCCATGAGCTTGAAGGAGGAGGATGCATATGGCGGGCTGCTCTCAAGTCGTCCGTCTCTAACCCGCCTCCTGTTTTGCAGATGCGACTGGATAAGGACAAGTTTTCCGTAAACCTCGATGTGAAGCATTTCTCCCCTGAGGAGCTGCAAATCAAGGTTCAGGGGGACATGGTTGAGATCCGCGGGAAACATGAGGAGCGCCAGGTACGTCTGCTCATGCGGGTCCGGGTTGAGCTGTGCCCACCAAAGATGCCACGAGGTTGCCAGACCGCTTGCTAATCTGCTGCAATGGCTATCCCAGGAGGTGCTGTTTCACCCTCAGCAAAAGACACCCAGGGAGGAGGTTATTGCTGCGTCTTACATTCAGGGCGAATTGAACTGGGCAAAGTCCACCTTAAAATGAGTTCTTCCTTCCAGGAATGGAGGGAAGAGGGGAGGGAGCCCAGCACAGAGACCGGTGAGCTGTGTAACAGAGAATAAGCGAACAATGACCTTTAATAATTAAACCAAATGATCATGCAAGCCCTAGTCCCAGTCTGCTGCCATCTGAATATCTTCATCTAGAACAGAAGTATGGTAAAACTCTAAGGGTCCGATCCTGCTCTCTGTTACTTGAGTGCAGATCCCATTACAGCTTGGTCCTAGAGACCGCTGGGGCAGCTAGGAGGTGGGTGAAGGCGTAGGCTGTGTCTATGCTGAGAGCTTTACTGGTATAGGAAGACCAGCACACTGTGCTTGCAACATGCTGCAAGCACGGGTACAAGGTGGAGCGGGCATGCTCAGCCCCAGAAAAGCCCCCAGCCATGAGTGAGCCATCCTAGAGTGGTATCAGCACAGTCCAGCCAGTATACCTGTCTAGACTAGGGGCTTCCCTACCTATGTCTGCCAGGGATCAGACCCCTTTGCCCAACGCAGCTACAATGGCAGAAGCCATAAGCACCGCAGGGGACAGCAGCACAACACGTAATAATTAAAGTGATGGCCAATGAACTTGGTTCCCCTCACCTCAGACCAGCAGTTCACAGGGTTTTCATTAAGCCAGCTGGCAGTGGAAGCGTGGCCTCGGCAAGGCAGTCTGAGCTCACAGCATCTGGTCGAGCTGCCCCCTGGTTGAAATGCTCCTTTTGGGCTGGTGCCTCCAAAGTGTGGCCTCAGCCCGGAGGGAATGCTGCCCAGACAGGCTGACTCGATTCCAGCTAACCAGCGCTGTCCTTCTCCCTCCCTTTTCGGGCAGGATGAGCACGGCTACATCGCCAGGGAGTTCAACAGGAAATACAGGGTCCCCTCTGATGTGGATCCTGACTCCATCACCTCCTCCCTGTCCCTGGATGGTGTCCTGACAGTGAATGGACCACGGAGACCAACCGACCTTCCTGAACGTACCATTCCCATCATCCGTGAGGACAAGTCTCCCACTTCGGGAGTCCAGAGGAAGTGAGCAGCCATTGAAAACCAGCCCTGCCCATTTGGGAAAACCTCTCCGTTGCATGCGAGCAGTGTATGCTGTCCTGAATAGCCACACCTATTTATTTATGCTGAGCAAAGCAAAAGGAGCCTATTTACTAACAAATAAAACATGAATAAGCACCTTGTGGTTTGGCCTTTGAATATTTGGGACTCGGTGAAGGATCTGGGAATGTAGTGCCGCTGCTGTGTTAGTAGGGGAAAGGCTCTGGTCACAGCAAAATATCTGTTATAGTTATGTGTACTGTAGTGTCTAGGGGCCCCCACCATGGCTGAGGACCCCAGGGAGCAGGGTGATATATAAAGACAAAACAGGATGATGGTCTCTGCTTCAGAGGTGATAATCTGAGATATAATCAGTGTCCAGTTGGTAGGGAGAAACACACCAATGTACCCCAACTACCCATAGCCCATGACGTTTCTTTCCATAACTGAGCCAGCTCTAGAAAGCCTTCGTGGACCGCGGGGTCGAAGCCTGAATCTATTGTACTCAGTGTCTGCTGCACACTTGACTTCTCTGGGAGTTTTGACTGAGTAACGACTGTAGGGTTTGGTCCCTGCACAATAAACCAGGAGAGCTGGAAACTCCATGACGCTGCATTGGATGTTCATGAACATGAATGGCCCAAAGGTGGGAGGGCTAGACACAGCTCTGCACAATACACAACAGCGTCACCCCCCACCACTCTAGGCCAGCCCACGCTGAACTTGCTGGGATGGAAAGGGAGTCGTCCCTTTACTCAGGGCAGGGACCAGGAACCAGCAGCACAGCCTCCTTTGGGTCACTAAGTAGCTTCCCCAGTTCATGGTGTCTGCCGCCTCCATGGCTAATGGCACCGGTGACACTGTCCCCACAGATTCCCATTCTCAGAGACACAGGGTTAGTGTGAATCTGAGAACAAAACCTGCCTCCACAGCGCTTCGTGGACAACAAGACTCAGATGGGCAGGAGCTCAGGGTAAGGCTGGTGTGCCCCAGCAGCACCACCCCTTCGCTATAGGCCACTGGTGGAACAAAGAGGGTCCGGTTGGTGATGAGGTATGTTCAGGTTCAGAGGACTGCAGGCATCAGGAAACCAATGTTTTCTCCTGCCGTGAGAGAGGCTCTTAAGAAATGCTTGGCTGCTTTTACTTCATGTGCAGGAATGTTTTGCAAACACTTGTTGCACAAGCTGTCTCTCGGTATTTCACTCTGGATTTCCGTAAACCTGATCCCTTCTGACTGTGCCTGACAAAACAATCTGTCCAAGGGAAATTCATTGGTTTGGTGAGAAAGCTCCAGGACAATGTAAACCCATTCTAGATACAGGCAGTGGATAATGCTGAAGAGGAAAATGAGTACATCTTAAATCTCTAGAATAACTCATGTTTTAGGGAAATGTCCACAAGTTGCAACTAATTCAGAGCAGGCCCAGAAGATAATTGTGTAGCTGCTGTAAATGCAGATACACCCAGAGCCGATGACAATGTTCTACTCTGATGGTACAAATCACATCGCTTTGAAACTATGTGGCACATGCCTTTCAAGCAATAAATAGCAGCTGATGTAGAAAATCCAGCTGATTTATGCTAATGTTGTAGGGTAATGCAAAATGCCATAAAGCTTTACTCATGTGCCACTAGCAGCTTAACACAGACGTGCCTGTGGCAAAGGGGACAAGGTGTGGAATTAGTTTTGTTGCATTTCTGTACATCCAGCCCACAAAGGGGAAAGAAAGTTAGCGTGAACTGCATCCCTTTTACTAAGGCACAAGCTTCCTTTTCCCAGATAGTTTGTTTTCTTTGCCTAACTGGAGCCTGTCACTTAGAGACATCTCTAATGTCAACTGAACTAAACGTTACAACCATCCCCTGAGCCATAAAGTGACAGGAATAAGGTTAACATTTATTTACTTAGATTTTGTGGAAAAAATAACTAGTCAAACGTTTAAACCAGCAGTTACAGACTGAACCCTGTTACAGCTTAAGAATGCTCCTGGAGCTCTCTGTCCTGGGACTATGTCACATGAACCACAGCTTTCCATTCTGCTTGCTTTTAATATCAGAAACACGTTATAATTGGAAGGGCAGCCTATAAGCAGCACTGGCACACGGGTTTACTGGTCTAACTATAGGCCTGGAGACTTGCTCTGCTTCTACTCCTTCTGCTGTGCCCCTTCCTGTTCTTTTCTTGGGACTTCGACACAAGCAAGGGGAGCTTTCCCTTGAGAAGGCTCATAGTCGATCATGTAGCAGGACCGTGCAGTAGGTTTGAATGGAGGGGGTTCCAGCTCAGGCTGGTGTCCAGGAAACCAGTGAGGCTCTCGTTTAAATCCTAAGGGAACACAGAGGAGGCAAGTGATGAATAAATGCAAAGTAATGAGCAGATAAGCAGATGAGACACCAAGACTGGTGTAATCAAGCCCGGGTAACCTCTACCCTTGGCTAACCCATATACAGGGAAGCTAAACACTGGGCTTGAGGGGGTCTTATAACACATGTTCAGCTGGTTGGCATGGCCCAGGAATTTATCATCATATCTGGATCTTACTTTGGGAGGAGAACACGCTGGAAAGACTTTTCTAAGTAGAAAGTGTAGGATCTTCAAAACCACTTCAGCAAATAACTCATTTGGATGCTTTTCAACATCCCACTTCAGATCAGGAAAGACAAATATTCCACTGATGCCCCCAGCCCTGCAGACACCACTAGATCTGCAGGTGTGTTATGAGGATTCAATGTCTGACTCAGGTGTGGGTACTGCCAAAGAAAGGGTGCCAGATGCAACACCCCGTCAATTGTATCTGGCACTGCGGCTCTGTACGAGAACGGACAAAAAGAGAGGTCTGTACCCACGCAGGCAGGAGACAGGGATTCCAGACTGAATAAGCCCATGGTCTGATCTGGTCCTAAATAGCCTTTGTTCCCCGCCAGGGACTATGAATCTTTTGTCCCTGATCTTTCATGTGTTGGACAGGGTTTTGGCAAGGCGACTCCTGTTGATGTGAGTGCTAACTGTGCAAGTGAAACTGGGCATCACATGCTTGGCTGCTCGACACAGAGGATCCGGCTACCAAAACCACGAATCTCTGGTTTGGAGGCCTCAGTTCCTCCCATACACAGCACACACCCACACGGGTGCATACCTCTGTACCTGCCCTGGTCAAACATACTGATTACACTTAGAAAGACACAAAGAGCAATGGGAAATGTAGGTTCCTTTGGCTTCCAACATTATGTTAATAAAAAATGCATTAGATGTTGCCATGATAGGGCCTAAGTATTCAGCAGTGTAAATGAACAGATCACTTCCCCTGGGGGAAAAAAACCCGACTCCCAATATTAGCATTTTTCGGACTTTGCTTTCCTCTAACCATCCGCTCTAAGAAGATCTGCCCATAAGGATGTTCCACTTGTTCTTTCCATGGCATCACAAGTGCATGGAGATGAGCAAAACATCACTCGTATCAAAACATCACTGAGGCCATCAGACACATCCTGAAACAGGACTGATCTAGACATGGCAAGGACCATTCTCTGCAAAGTAAAACTTTACAAAGGTCTAAAACTGAGAGAGAATCGAGAGCAATGAATATGGACTTACATTCAGAGCCCTGGGCATCATTTTGATAAGGAATTTTAGCCTCTGAAGAATATAAAAGCAACACCTGAAATGCAAACACCCTGCACCCTGTGTAACTTGAAATACAAGCTCTAGATACTGAGATCTAGAGGCACAACTCAACAAGGAAGGAAAAACAAACTCCCTTTTCAGTTCTGCCCACGGTTATCATCTCTTCATCATCCACCACACAGATTGAACTGACTACGTTCCAGCTCCATGCACCTACTTCTTGGGCTGTGATGCTTCTCCTTGTTGTAATCGGATGAATAAATGGTTTCAAAATAGTGAGCATACTGAAAGAAAAAGCATGTATTTAGCGAGGCAGAACATAAGCAAACAAACATAGAACAGGTTGGGAAACGTTCTGTTTTTGGTAAAGACGTAGTTCAGTCGTCTTTAAAAACTCGAGCTGAGCTACAGCCACTACAGAAATGACTCATCACCTGCAACTAAGTAATATTAGCATCACTGGGTGACAGCCAGAAGGGTGACGCCAAAGCAAAGTGAAACACTGACTGGTGAAACTCTGAATTATAAATAGCTCATGATTTACAAATTGCCTTGAGGTGCTTTGTCCAAACCAAGGCCTTAGTTTGCAAAGAAATTTATGGCTTAATGGCTCTGCTGCTACCAATATATTTCCCAGCAGCAAGCAGGACACAAGGTTGGACAACTTGTGTGACTTGGAGTCACAGGCCAGGATCGGGACATCCAACACAAAGGAGGGAATACCCAAGATGGCATAAAAGCAAAGTGAACAGGCGAATGGCACTAAAGACTGCTCAAGGACTGAGCGCTGAGAGAGGCTGGTCCTCAATCTTGAAGGGGCAGGAGTCAGATACTGGAGAGCAACAGGCCAGGGTCTTGTCTGCCCGTAGGAAGGGCTGAGGGAACGGAAAGCGGCTACCTGTGAAGGGAGTGGTTTGGGCTGCACAATTTTTCGGATATCGAACCGCTCCTCGTTCCAGTTCCCCATCAGGGTCTTGTTGGAATAAGCATCCTCGTTGGTGGTGCATCTCCAGCCGTACTGGATAAACTTGGACGTGCTGTTCCAGTCTGTCCACACTTCACCGTGGCCATTGGCATGCATCATGGCGCCACAGTGCGGGTTATAGAAACACGACAGAGACATGTTCTGGGGAACAGAAACCACAAAGCACATTGGGAATGACTCTGATCTCTGGCAAGACCAAACAGCGTGTTGAAAAGTTGTCCCCCGACTCCCTGTTACGTGGCCAAGCAGCCCCCCACTTCCCATAGTCTGAATTCTTGGGTGTGGTGCATGTGCCAAGCCTCCTTCCCTAAAAACACGTCCTGCTTCACCAGCGATACCAGAGCATCACCTTCACCACACGCAGGGCAAGGGGAGCAGACTTATCCAAAGCCAAAGAGCCAATAACCGAGCTGAAATTAGGGTTTGCTAATTGCAAGCTTCCCGCCCTCTACTCAGACGGGGCCTTTTCCCAATAGAAGCCCTGCCTCAGCTGTTGTTATTCAAGTGATTTTTAACAGGTTTCCTTGCCCTGAAGAGCAGCTCAAAGGACCGCAAGCAGCGTAACGGAGAGCGCCAGGACTGCGATTCCAACTCGATCTATGTTACACCGTGAATCCCAGGACACACAAACGGAGCCGTAAGTGTGATCATCTACCACCAGACTCTCTCTCGGGTGGAATTACGGCTCCCTTGGTGACATCGGCGTTCGCAGGCGCGGGCTCGCATCTGAGGGCGCGGGAAGAAGAAGGTTTTAAGCATCTGAAGGGCGCGGGGGAGGCAAGCCAGAAACGCAATGAGAAGTTGCCACGAACGGGACCGGGATGTCCGGAAAAACATCAGCGGCGGCTCGAGCGGAGATCACGAGCCAGGGAAATACCTCCGAATCCGTCGTGATTGTTCGCCCGAGCGATAAAAGACTCTCGTCCATGGCAAAGCTACCAAGTCCTCGTCCTAGTCTGAGCTACGTCGGTCCCGGATAACGGGGCGATACGAGGGCCTCGACACGCGGTCACGCACCCGAGCGCGGCGCCCACGGGCCGTCCGTGACAGCGAGGAGCAGCCCACAGGCGGAGGGGGCCCGGGCAGCGAAAAATACCGACTGCTCGTGTTTGTGAGGTAAGGGCTTTATCACCCGTCGGCGCTGATGTCACCAGCCCCAGCTCGCCCCTGAGGTTAGCCGCTGACATCACGCGCCGTTTCCCCGAAAACTCGAGGAGCCCAGCGGGCCCGAGGCACCTCGCTGCTCAACAACGGCTGACAACGAAAGGGGCGCGGGCCCGGGCTGGGCCGGGGAAGCCACGCCGGCCACCGCGGCACATGCGGG